CCAGCAGGAAATTTTCCAAAAAACAAAAGAATAGTTTCTTGTAAAATGTCTCTCAATGCAGATTAAACGTATCAGGAAACCAGCTGATGTGCTTATAAGTACAAATAAGGCAATTCGCCACCAAATTATCCATGTTCATCTTAAATCTCTCTCTTTGCCTTTTTGTTAGCTACTAGCTAGGCAAGATGTCTGTGTTGCTATGGTGACCAGCAGTTTCGTGCTGATCTTCAGGGTTAAAGTGTGAATTAACAGACATAGACTACATTAACTCCAGCATTTAAGACCATTTATTGTTAAAACTGTGTTGAATGATCAGCAGAACTTTATTTTACTGTAAAGGAGGATTATTTTATTTATTTATTTATTTTTTTACATAAAAATCGAATTCTGCTGTGGAGCCGCAACAGGGCAGAAAAAGAGCCGCATGCAGCTCTGGAGCTCTCTTTCACTGATATAAATGATCAATCTATCAGCCCTGGATAACACTATTTCCAGGTCCACAAGCACTAACAGCTCGATGTGAAGACAACATGGGAAAGGAGAAATACAGCCAACTGTACCACTGATGGTGAAGATGTAGAAGTGCTGGACAGCTGGGATTAGTTATTAACAATAAACGATCCAGCAGTGAAGAAATACGACACAGATCAGCTCTCGGCAGAACAAGAATGAAGGAGCTTGAAAGGATCGTCAAATGTTACAAATTGTCTTTACAAACAAAGATCAGAACCGTCCAGACTGTGTTTCTTTATGGATCTGAAAGCTGGACGAGAAAAAAAAGCAAGACAGGAAAAAAAATGTTGATGTCTTTGAACTTTGGTGCTGGCGAAGACATTTGAGAGTTCGTTGGACGGCAGAGAAAACAAACAAACGGATCCTCGAGCAAATCAAGCCTCACTTCTCACTCGAAGCCCAGAAAACCAAACTAAAGCGCTTATTTTGGACACATTCTGAGAAGAAACAGTTCTTAGGAAAAGAATGTTATGTTTGAAACAGCTGAAGATAAAAGAGGAAGACAACAAAAAGAATGAAGACAATCATGAACAGGTCACTGAGAAGGCTGAAGACCCAAAGAGAAGACAGGATACTGTTGAGAAATACTATCTATATGGACACAAGGAGCTGAAATCGACTTGACGGCACTTATTTTGAGGGTCAACTGTAGATGCTTTATAGATGCACACCTTGTTTTCAGCTAAAATATCTGATGAATGGAACTGAACTTTAAGTTAAAGGTTCAAATTCAGTTAAATCTTACCTTAAACCGAAAACCTGCACAGTTAAAAGTTTAACCAGGTGTTAACAGTTTGAACATGTGTAGATAATCTAGATAGTAGGGCTGTGTTTGGCACGAACGTGGCGATACGATATGTATCATGATACAGGGGTAACGATTCAATGTATTGCAATATATTACGATACTGTAAGGCGATATATTGTGACTTTTTTTAATGTAATTTTAGGAATGCTGTCTTTGTATACAAAACACCACTGTATAAATCAAGTCTGAGTAAAAGAAAAAGTCCAATGGCTGAAGATTCCAACACTGCAATCTAGCGTTGGGGGTTTAAACACAACACAAAGTGAACCTTGAATCTTTGCATGTAAATTATTACTTAAAAATCCTTGCTGTGTTTTTGAGAATCGATACAATATCACAAAATGTAATACTGTGATACTTAAGTGTCTCAATATTTTCTTACACCCCTACTTTACAGCACCATTGAAATAAATAGAGTCATCCAGAGTGGTTTGTTGTGAAATGGTTCACTGTAGTGACTCGGATATCTTCACAGTGGTGGTGATAGGAACCAGGCGTCACAGTGACAAAATTTCGATCATAATCAGATTTTTTTGCAGTTATCTGATTATTCAAATGGTCATGTAAACAGCATACTCTGATTTCTTAGATCAGAGTAAGGTCTAGAAATCCGATTAAGAAATCCGATAATGAGAGCTGGATTTTAGCTCAGTAATCAGATTTCTCAGTGCATGTAAACTCTTAGTCTGATTTCTTTCGGATTTCTCAGTCTGCGCATGTGTGAAAACAGACGGCGGCACTGGAAATAAGCGAGCAAACCAAACACATACTTCACGAAGTGAAGGATTTAAATATTCTTCATCCTTTAGATGATGAATGTTCCCCTTTTTCAGGTAAAGTGGCGATGTTTTTAAAGGAAAGCCGCGGCATGAAGTTTAAGTTTTACATTGCGTTTACGTCATGTCTTCTTCTGTGAGTTTATTGGCTGGTTGAACAGCACAAATCTGATTGTCTGACTCATGAAGACCCAGAGCTTCCCATTATCTTATTATCCAAGTGCATGTAAACGTGTTGATCGGATTACTGACAAAATAAGATTTTCTGCAGTTATCGGATTATTAAGTGCATGTAAACGCACTCAGTGTCTACAACGCAAATATAGACATTTTATTTACTATGAAAAACCACCAGTGAACCTACACGTCCTCTGAGTTTATATGGAATGTTGATTAATGTAAAAAGTATCATGAGTTTTGACATCAGTCCTTCAGTTTGTAGTCTTAAATTGAACAGCTGAGAAACCTCTAGTCATTTCTAAAGAATAAACAGAAACTCTCTCCTCCCCCAGCAGACGCTGTATTCCACACTGTTGAACTGTATTCAAGGCTTTCTTAATTACTCTTCTCACCAGGTGGGCTCCTATTCCATCTCACTAATTGTGTGCTACTTCAAGGAGAAAGGCAGGAGATGCCACTGGCCAACGACAGCTTACCATTTTGCATCACTGGGAGGTGCACATGCATTGTCCCCAGCATGCAGTGGGGGACTGTGTTTAGCTCACTTACAGACATGCTTGGTCTGATATCTGCTTCTACTAAGCTTTGATAAGCAGTAGACGTATGATTGATGTACGCTTGACCAAATAACAGAGACGGTTAAAAGAGAATTGTACCAAAATTCTAGTAGACAGACTTGAATCAACATTTCTGACTTTCTGTATTAGGAGTTTTTCTGTTTTGATGTCAATAAATGACAAAAATGTAAAAATGTTTTTGTTCCTATCTGCAAAAAACGACTGTATGCACAACGGTAACTTCTAACCAAATTCAGCCATAATAAAAAGTCTCTTCTATTTTCATCCATTTTTCTTCCTTATTCAGCCATGTTCAATTCCCACCTGCTAGCTGGATCTCCCTCTATCACATGATGCTACCAAGCTGGGGGGTTAAGACTAGCGTGTGCTTCTTCTGAGACACATGAAGCTTCACACCATCTTTTCAAATTGTCACTAATGCAACGTCATTGGAAGCTCAACACACTCGGAGGAGAACATTAACTGCCAATTCTGTCATGTCTGTTAACCTTCAGGTCTGAGGACATTTTATCGATTTGTGCATGTCTTCTTAAGTTCGCCTTTAAAGGCTCTTCAAATAACATGATACTCATGTTTCATATCAAAATGCTCTGTTATCTTCATCACTACTTTCCAAAAACGCTGGAGCAGCTTCAGCAGCTGTAAACTCTCTGCACGCCCTTTCACACGTGTCTCCGATGTGGAGTGCATGAAGAATGAAGGGTTTCTGGCGTGATGGGTCAGTTTTTAGTGCTTTTCTGAGTGTCCATTGGTCAGTTTCACACAGAATGTAGACGGACACACGAATCCACCAGTTCCACACAGTGAGAGGCAGATGAGGTGTATCTCAGCCCCTCTTCATAGGCTCATAACTCCGAATGTGAGTCACGCATCTCGTGATAAGATGGACCAGAAAGGGCGACTCTACAGATTCAGATTGTGCTGTGTTATCACAAAGAGAAAGGAACACATACAGAAATTGTGAATTTGATGCATGTGCAACTTCGTGGACCCCAGAGGGTTAACGAATACCTGTGTTGGCTAGCGTCACAGTGAGTGATGGGGCAGGAGAGGGAGGACCACCCTTCCACCCAGTCATACTTATTAAGACTCTCAGCCACGGACGGCTGTTGCATCACTGGGAATCAAACTCCAAATCTCCCGATTTTGACGATTCCACTCAGGAGGCCGAATATCTCCTCTTCTACAGAGAGATTCAGTCGAAAGAGGCCCCGAATATTCTGTTGTAACTCCTGTTAGGATGAAGCAATCTGAACCAAAAAATACGCTACATACCTTGACGTATGTGTAATCGATTGCATTACATGCGATGCTGGAAGTGATCTCCATTTTCTGCCAGACACATGAAGGGGTACGGGGGTATGCAGCCAGAAGTTGCAAACTGAAGTTAAACGTCGCGACAGCTGTTCAGCACCTACCTCATCGCTCCGATGCAGGGGTATCCCAGCTTGTTTGAAGCTCCATCTACTGAGGAGCTCATTGCATGTTGTTTCGTTCTGATTGCTTCGTCCTAGCGAGAGTTATTACAGAATATTCAGGGCCTCTTTCGAGTGAATCTCCCTGTACTTACAAACACAAATGTAGTATGGAATAAAAGTCTTCACTCTCAACAGAATTTCCTGGCTTGTGTTCGAGAGATACGAAATATTTTTATACAAACAGAACGGGAAAGTTTATGAACCTTTTTTTTCCCAACTTTCTTACCAATTTAGATGTATCCAATTCCACCCACTAGTAAGGACTCCCCCAGTCATATGATACCATCAGCACTAGGAGGGCGAAGGCCAGCACAGGCTTCCTCCGAGACCTGTGAAGCACCACCACATCTTTTTGAACTGCCGCTAACGCAACATCACTGGACAGCTGAACACGCTTACGTCAGCTAACAGACACCTGCGCTGGCTAGCACCACCAAGAGAGAGCAAGGAGAACTGGGCTTTCTTGGACTCCCAGCCACGGACAGCTGTAGCATCACCAGGGACTGACCTCATGATCTCCTGACGATAAGGCCAACACTTGGACGGTTGCGCCTCTCAGTAGAGTTAAAGCAGTTGGAGAATGCTCTTGATTAAAATTGGCCTGTTTTAGGTAGGGACTGGGGGGGAGAGAGAGAGAAAGAGAGAGAGAGAGACTTGTGTGTTTTACCTCGTTTATGGCCAGCTGCTCCCCTGCTCCTCCTGGATGACCAAAGCGATGTCCAGAAGAGCGTAGATCCTCATAGAGGTCCTCCTCACTGCCCACTTCATCACCCACACCCAACTTCTCTGGAGCTCCATCGGGCAAGATCACCGCTGAGAGAGAGAGAGAGAGAGAGAGAGAGTTAGTTGATGTACAAAGATTAAAAAAAAAATACAGGGAGAGAAGGAATAGAAGGAGAAAGAGTTCAGGTGATTAGACTGTATCTGGATGCTCAGCTGCACTCAGACAGCACATACAGCATTGAATGTTATCTGATGTTGACCAGAGGAGGATGGGTTCCCCTTCTGAGTCTTGGTTCCTCTCAGTGTTTCTTCCTGTTTCTCTTAGGGAGTTTTTCGTCCAACTGTCACCATTGGCGACGCTCATGGTGGCCTGGACCTGGATTTTTCTGTAGAGCTGCTTTGTGACAACACCTGCTGTATAGATAACCTCTGACTTGATGTTTAGGTGCCATTATTTTGACCAAAAACAGTGGCCAGACTCACGGGCATCAAACACAGGCAAAGCCTGAGTGACCTTTCATTTTGTGATAGTATATGAATAATGAATCACTGTGTGGTAGTATTTTCATCCAGGCGGGAAAACTGAGCGTAAGCATGTTTGTGGAACAGTCCTTATTGTGAGTAACGGCTCTTTGCTGTGGGGAAGCTGAAACTGTGGGAGGCCACATTGGGTAACAGTTTATTTAAGGTCACTGGCTGCTGCGGGACTGGAGACACTACATTCCCGGCACACAGTCAAAAACACAAATAGCCCCCCCACCACCATATGCGTGTAAGGCCTTATGACCAAAACACACACAGTGTTTTAATGTATTTTAGATACATAAGTACCTATATGTAATAATAGAATGTATCATATATATTATGTAAGTATATATAGGGAATAACAATACTGTGTGATATATGTAAGGGCCTATATACCCTTAATTTAATTTCCAGCCATTAAGTAATAGGATAGATATTTTTCAGCATCAGAAAAAAACATACATTTAACAGAAAATGACAGAAGCTTCACCAATTACATATAATATCTGCTTTTTCAGTGTTCAGTGAGTCACTCTTTGTCTTCATAACAGCTTCCGTTCTTTTCAGGAGACTCACTTTCAGTTCCTCAAAGAATCTGCAGACACACCTCCAAAGTTCAGTCTTAGAAGCTGGTTAATCATTTTCTGAAGTAATCAAACACATTCAGTGGTGTTGAGGTCTGGACTCTGGGGTGGTCAGTCCATTGTTCAGTGTCTTTGTTTGATGTGTCCGTCTCCTTTTCTCAGCGAGGTTCTTCTTGATCAGCTACACATCCTTCCAGACCCACAGCGCTGAGTCGTCTTCTCACAGTGGAAGGATGGACAGAAACACCTGTGGATGTTTTCAGATCTGAAGCAGCTTGATTTTCTCCTCTCTCTCAGAGATGAAAGCTTTAAGTGCTGATTATCTGATGGGGGCAGTTCTGGTGTCTACCAGCTCTTCCAGGTGGTTGTTAGGAGCCCCGTTTTCTCTGTAGCTTCTGATTTTTCACTTTTTTTTTCCTTTTGATTTCCATATGCAAGTGGATCATCTTATATCTAATCTCCTCAGAAATATCTCCCGAAAACTGAGTAACTTGTTCTTAATGGCAGATTTGACTGGAAATTAAATAAATAAACGGTGGTCTTGGACTTTAGTACAGTACTGTATATGTAAGTACCTATATGTAGGTATTAAAGGCAGGACTATGTTGTTGTATGTATGTAGTCAGGACATATCAGTCCTGAAAATGTACAAACATTCACCCTCACATGTAAACACACCCCTTCCGTGAGGCACACCAGGCCATGCTTTGGAGCCACAATGACGCGAATGTACCTGCCACGCTCTCTAAAAATAGCCCCCCCTGTCACGGCCAATCATAGCTGCTGTTTCCACGGTGTATCCACAGCGACAAATCACCGTGGAGACAGACAGTGAGAGCGTGTGGCCGACAAATCGCCGTGGAGATAGACAAGCCCTCAAATGGTGAAGGGAAATTGATTTGACGAATCGTTTAGCTGTTCAAAATGAAGCTTTCACGCAGTGACCACGGTCATATTTTAACATGATTTATTGGATGGGCTTCGCTCAAGGAGGAGCATATCCCCCTCTCCTGCTTCAATTCTGCAGCCCTGAGGCAGAGCCTGGGCTCTGACACTTTAATCTGATCCCTGCAATTTCCTGACCGTGTAAATAGCTCATTTACTCACGTACTTATTATCTGGGATTGGACAACTGGTCATGATCTCAGTATCTTATTACACGTTATGGGTGTTAAGCTGCAAATGAATGAAGCCAAGGGTGATACAGATGCATACTACTAAGTAAAATAAGCTTATCTCAGCACAAAACTGAAGTACACAGCATCAAGTCCATTTTCTATTAGACCTTTAATACACTATATCATTTTTGTATGTACTATTAAAGGGGAATTCCACTTATTAAGTGGTTAAGATGTAAACAGTGTCATTCAGAGTGGTTTGGTGTGAAACGCTCTGTTCTAGAGAAACTTACCAAGACAGGATTGTTCACAGTGGTGGTGATAGGAACCAGACGTCCACCTCTAAAAGCTCCCTCACAGAAAGTTACTACATGAAATGGTTATGAATTCACTGCCTAATAACTTGTTTTACAACAAGGTTTCTGTCCTTATCTTTAAAGCCATTCATCGAGGAGAGGTACATTCACATACTGCAAAACAAAACAGTCCCCAGGGAAAATGTACTTTTTTCAGATTTATCACATTCCACCATCATGAACATCACATATAAAACTCAGAAGACTCCTGTAGGTTCACTGGTGGTTCTGATAGTAAATAAAATGTCTATATTTGTGTTGTAGTCATGGTGACCCCTGGTTCCTATCACCACCACTGTAAAGACATCAGAGTGTGTAAGTTTCTCTACGGTGAACCATTTCACACCAAACCACTCTGAATGACTGTTTACATCTCAACCACTGAAATCTCTTTATTGAAAGGGTGAATTTAGCAGACTTATAATATTGCTCAATCACAATGTGCATGAAATATTTTGTATTCAGTAAAATTCTTCATTATGCATGTCATCGCTGTCCAAAGAAAAACATTAATGTCCATTTTTTCCGATTTTTACTTTTCTACATCATTTGAGCACGGCAACTGCCCTTTACACTGTGTGAAAATTTCATGAGGATTGGACCAATAGAAATGCTCTGAAGCCACTTGAAATAAAATCTTTGCACAATAACTTACATTGAAAGCAAAGAAGGTTTTTGCCTTCTCCTGTAAAGTTGCCATTTTGGAGATACTTGTTTCTCTTTGGACGGTGACGATATTTTACTTCTAGTCTGTTTACTTTTGCACATGTAAAATGCTGCCAGACATTTGTATTTTTTTATTATTTTATCTTATTAATACTACTGATTACCAATCTGTACCTATTGATTACTTATCCTCCCTTCTTTTACTACATACACTATTTTAACATTTTTTTATTTTAACATCATCTTATTCTGTTACTGTTATTCTTCAGCCTGTTCTTTTCCACCCATGTTAATTTATGTATTTGTGTCTTAAGACTTTAAGATTTTATGTAACTGACTAAATACAATTACTGATAATGTAATCATTACTGTTATTTTATTACATTACACTCTGTTTCATTTCATTTTCTTCTTACTGTGTCTCAGTTTGAGCTCCTGCCAAGACAAATTCCTCATAACTGATGTCTTACTTGGCCAATAAAACCAATTCTGATGCAGTTCAGATAAAAATACTCATAACTGGGCGTAGCGTCACCTTGTGTCCACTAGGAGGCACTGCACCCCACAGCGTTCAGAGAGTATGCACTACAGCAGCAGATGGCCAAGGTCCAGCGATTGAACAACCCTTTATTTATGAGTGGCTGTAAGAAGCAGCATCTATACGGCTCTTCCGAGCTCATCTCTGGAGCGCAGCAGAGAAAGGTGCACATAAACACTCCCTGAAGGCCGTTCTTCAACCTGGCGTGATGCAGCTATAAAAACCACGGCCACCTAAACCCACACATCCATTAAAACACTCCCTCTCGCTCTCAGCCTCACTATCTGTCCATCTCTGGGCCTGTTTACATTCATCTCCGCAATCCAGGCCTGCAGACGTACTGATAACAGATGGCTCTGTAACCACGACTGACCAAATCATTCATAAGGTGTATATATATATATATATATATATATATATATATATATAAATGTTTATGTATTTGAATCCATGTATCTATTTCCTGCAGAACACCTTAGGAAACCATCACTGCCATTTAGAATCAACCACTGGTCACCTTTTAAACCAGGGGTCGGCAACATGTGGCTCTTTTACTGCCCTGTTGTGGCTCCACAGCTGAATTAGATTTGTAGGTAAAAATAAAATAATCCTCCTTTACAGTAAAATAAAGCTCTGCTGATCGTTCAACACAGTTTAACAATAAATGGTCTTAAATGCTGGAGTTAATGTAGAACTGCTAATTCACCCTTTAACCCTGAAGATCAGCGCAGACTGCTGGTCACCATAGCAACGCAAACTGACAAACACTAAAAAGTCGTGAAGCTGAAGTCAGTTTCTCATTCAAATTTTCCCGTTCCACCTTAAATGGTGCAACAGTTCGCTATAAAGTTAGCTACATAGCTAGACACATGAAGGGGTACGGGGGTCTGCACCCGGAAATTGCGAACGGAGGTTAAACGTTCGCCGCCTACCTCAGCACTCTGACGCAGGGTCATCCCAGCTTGTTTGAAGCTCCATATACTGAGGAGCACATTGCATGTTGTTTCGTTCAGATTGCTTCGCCCTAGTGTGAGTTATTACAGAATATTCGGGGCCTCTTTCGAATGAATCTCCCTGTAGGTTCGCCTAATCTACGTAGTTTTAGGTGGCTTCATGGATTCATGAGGGGCCAGGCAAGCAAAGTGAGAGGTTTTTACTGCCAAATGTTTATATTACAGTGGACAACAAGACTCTGAAGATGTGTTAGCATCCAGACGACTAGCATAACAGCTCGCCAACCAGACGAGGAGCGAGGGAGAGTTTTAATTCCATTGCTGTTCAAAATACGGCTTTGGTGTTGGTC